GGAGAACTTAATATTGTTCACATGCTATGTTTTGTGTGGAGAACTTAATATTGTTCACATGCTATGTTTTGTGTGGAGAACTTAATATTGTTCACATGCTATGTTTTGTGTGGAGAACTTAATATTGTTCACATGCTATGTTTTGTGTGGAGAACTTAATATTGTTCACATGCTATGTTTTGTGTGGAGAACTTAATATTGTTCACATGCTATGTTTTGTGTGGAGAACTTAATATTGTTCACATGCTATGTTTTTGTGTGGAGAACTTAATATTGTTCACATGCTATGTTTTGTGTGGAGAACTTAATATTGTTCACATGCTATGTTTTGTGTGGAGAACTTAATATTGTTCACATGCTATGTTTTGTGTGGAGAACTTAATATTGTTCACATGCTATGTTTTGTGTGGAGAACTTAATATTGTTCACATGCTATGTTTTGTGTGGAGAACTTAATATTGTTCACATGCTATGTTTTGTGTGGAGAACTTAATATTGTTCACATGCTATGTTTTGTGTGGAGAACTTAATATTGTTCACATGCTATGTTTTGTGTGGAGAACTTAATATTGTTCACATGCTATGTTTTGTGTGGAGAACTTAATATTGTTCACATGCTATGTTTTGTGTGGAGAACTTAATATTGTTCACATGCTATGTTTTGTGTGGAGAACTTAAATATTGTTCACATGCTATGTTTTGTGTGGAGAACTTAATATTGTTCATGGGAAAAAAACAAATGAAAACTACCTTTACTTTGATGTAAATTCTCTCTTCTTGATATTCATTGTTTGCTATCTTGTTACATTTACAAAAATATTAATAATTGTTGCCAGCCCTTGTTTTTGCCAGAGAGTGGAATCATCACTGGAATCATTTTTTTAAATAAAAATGATCTACCACATCTTTGAAGGAATTGTATGTACAGTATCTGTTAACGTTTCACTTGTTGAATTGTACAGTGGAGGGTTGCAGTTCTAATTTAACACACCAGATGACAACATTTCACAAAAAAACAACCACTGGTCTACTGTAAGTGGGAAACTAAGGACTCGTGCATGTGTGAGTATCTATCTATATGTGAGCAGTAGGTGGCATGATTGCACAATTAGCTTTTTCATGCCTGTAAATAGGTTTCAATCCGTCGAGATTGCCGAAAAGCCAAGTCTCTGGCAAAGACAAGGGCTAGCAACAATTATCTACAGTGGGGGAAAAAAGTATTTAGTCAGCCACCAATTGTGCAAGTTCTTCCACTTAAAAAGATGAGAGAGGCCTGTAAGTTTCATCATAGGTACACGTCAACTATGACAGACAAAATTAGGGAAAAAAATCCAGAAAATCACATTGTAGGATTTTTTATGAATTTATTTGCAAATTATGGTGGAAAATAAGTATTTGGTCAATAACAAAAGTTTCTCAATACTTTGTTATATACCCTTTGTTGGCAATGACACAGGTCAAATGTTTTCTGTAAGTCTTCACAAGGTTTTCACACACTGTTGCTGGCATTTTGGCCCATTCCTCCATGCAGATCTCCTCTAGAGCAGTGATGTTTTGGGGCTGTCGCTGGGCAACATGGACTTTCAACTCCCTCCAAAGATTTTCTATGGGGTTGAGATCTGGAGACTGGCTAGGCCACTCCAGGACCTTGAAATGCTTCTTACGAAGCCACTCCTTCGTTGCCCGGGCGGTGTGTTTGGGATCATTGTCATGCTGAAAGACCCAGCCACGTTTCATCTTCAATGCCCTTGCTGATGGAAGGAGGTTTTCACTCAAAATCTCACGATACATGGCCCCATTCATTCTTTCCTTTACACGGATCAGTCGTCCTGGTCCCTTTGCAGAAAAACAGCCCCAAAGCATGATGTTTCCACCCCCATGCTTCACAGTAGGTATGGTGTTCTTTGGATGCAACTCAGCATTCTTTGTCCTCCAAACACGACGAGTTGAGTTTTTACCAAAAAGTTCTATTTTGGTTTCATCTGACCATATGACATTCTCCCAATCCTCTTCTGGATCATCCAAATGCACTCTAGCAAACTTCAGACGGGCCTGGACCTGTACTGGCTTAAGCAGGGGGACACGTCTGGCACTGCAGGATTTGAGTCCCTGGCGGCGTAGTGTGTTACTGATGGTAGGCTTTGTTACTTTGGTCCCAGCTCTCTGCAGGTCATTCACTAGGTCCCCCCGTGTGGTTCTGGGATTTTTGCTCACCGTTCTTGTGATCATTTTGACCCCACGGGGTGAGATCTTGCGTGGAGCCCCAGATCGAGGGAGATTATCAGTGGTCTTGTATGTCTTCCATTTCCTAATAATTGCTCTCACAGTTGATTTCTTCAAACCAAGCTGCTTACCTATTGCAGATTCAGTCTTCCCAGCCTGGTGCAGGTCTACAATTTTGTTTCTGGTGTCCTTTGACAGCTCTTTGGTCTTGGCCATAGTGGAGTTTGGAGTGTGACTGTTTGAGGTTGTGGACAGGTGTCTTTTATACTGATAACAAGTTCAAACAGGTGCCATTAATACAGGTAATGAGTGGAGGACAGAGGAGCCTCTTAAAGAAGAAGTTACAGGTCTGTGAGAGCCAGAAATCTTGCTTGTTTGTAGGTGACCAAATACTTATTTTCCACCATAATTTGCAAATAAATTCATTAAAAATCCTACAATGTGATTTTCTGAATTTTTTTTCTCTCAATTTGTCTGTCATAGTTGACGTGTACCTATGATGAAAATTACAGGCCTCTCTCATCTTCTTAAGTGGGAGAATTTGCACAATTGGTGGCTGACTAAATACTTTTTTACCCCACTGTATATATACACTAGATGACTGACAGGGGTTTTGAAGCCACCGCGCCTTCGTCGTCGCACTCCCCACCATTGTAAAACATATTTTGGAAGCTATAGAAAAGCATTTATTAATGTCTACATTTGATTTTGCCACGTTTATTCTATTAGACACCTTAATGCATACTTTTAAATTATATTATGTGAGCTAAACATTTAAAACATTTTCCTTAAAGTATAATTTTTTGAAAGTACTAATGTTGCTGTCCCCACTACAACAAATATACTGAAATACATTTAATTTTGTCCTTGAAACATTTAAATGAAATACTATAGAATTCCATTCATTCTTATGGAGGACTGCTTTTCTGAGGATCGTCAATATGGCCGACCCGTGGCTTCAAAGCTTCTCCATGGCCAAAATATAGCGTCAGCAATCGAGGCTTATATACATCATTGAGTGGCAAGGAGTGGAATGTTAGCTAAAGAGACTGGTACTCAGACTAAGGGGAATTGCATTGAATGAAATTATTAATTTCCAATGATTTAACGCCTGTAAGGGCAGGGTGCCCTAGTAATGTTGATTATGTCATGATGTCAATTATGCCACCACATCAGTGTGGGGTATCACATGTGGGGTCAATTCAGTAGAATAATATGCAATCAAATAAATAATTGGAATTGGAAATAACCAGGGAGCACAGCACTACGCTGGATGAGGGCACCTGGCTCCAAAACAATGACAACTGGTGAAACCACACAAGACACTACGCTGTCAGGTGAACAATTATCTTCACGATTCATAAGAGTGTGTGTGTAAAAACAAAGATATTTAAATCCTTCATAAAGATGTATTCCTGCATTCCTTTTATTTAATCCGTCCAACGTTGTATACAGTACTAGAATACTACAGCAGCTGTTTTACTAAAAGGAAGTGGCTATTTGTCAGAGTTAACATACTGTACAGAATCGAGGGAAGTAGAGGAATGGGAAACAGGATGAGAGAGAAAGGGAGTTATCTGGTAAGCAGAGGGGATGGAGAAAGGAAATCAGTGATGTGGGGTTAGGGTGAATACATCTGAACTATACTCCCACTGTGCAGACATGAAGCCATTAACCCAACAACATTGGCTTTAAACTGTTTGAGCTGTTCTATCATTTCCATTCCACTTCCCTCGTCAGTCAGCAACAAATCTGAGATCGTATTGCCTTTGAAAGAGCGCTTCTCATTTAAACATCTGTATTAAACTGAATTCAATCTAAAATCTCTAGTACTTCTCTCAGTTTATTCTAGATAAACCAATTTTGTGTGACATGGCAGCCTTTTCGAAGAGCAGTGAGGTGAGGTTGACAGTGGGTATTCTCAGAGGGGATAGAAGGCTGGGTTTTGGTGAGCCTCGGGGGAAATGTAGTGGGCTAACTAAACAGAACACAAAAAAATTTAAATTCACAAAAGTAAAACAAACCACCAATGCAAAAGTAAAAAGTAAAAACATGAATCAGGTACATATTTATTAAGGCAATCTTAAATAGAAAGTTCAAGTTGAGAAATGAAAAATAATGCTGGAGCCAGCATTTCATGTAAACACACACACAAGAAAAACAAAGCAGCATGAAAGAAACTTAAAATATTTACAACATTAAAAATGGAAACATAAAAAATCCCAACATTGACTACAAATAGGTGTACACCAATTACCAAGACATTGGGTATAGTGGTTATCAATAAAAGGCCAAACTATTGTGAATTAACATTTACAACAGTTCAGACAATTGGCATCCATGGTATGTTGAAAATAAAACACACTTTAAATTAAAATTGATTAAACAATTCAATGACCTAGCTGCCACCATTGAAAAGCGCTAGATACATCATGACACCACACCCTCTTCCAAATGGTTGTAGTAGAAAGGCAACAAGGACATTTTGCTCACAGACAAAGAGCACTGTGGTGAAGAGATTTGGTAAGAGCCTCTGTTTCAGTGGTCACACACAAATGTATCCATTACAAACAATGAGCACCATGAAGATTCAAACAAAGAGGCATTCAAAACAATCTGTAAACAAAAATTGTATGGAAGCATTCAAAAATAGCTTACTAAGGATACAACCACACTGACAAATCCCAATGGATTCGGCAATACATTTCATTTGTCATTTTGAGTTTCCTTTGCATTAGTTCCCATGGGCCTTTACATTTACATAATTTAGCAGACCTTTAGAAGAGTTTCGGCAGCTGTCTAAGTCTATTCAGGTCCAAGAAATGTCCCATCGACCCCTCTGGTTGAGGACACTCCCTTTGCATTTCACCTAAAGATGGCTGCCGTTTTGCACCATTCTCCTTGTCTGAATGTTGTTTGGCGCCGCGTGCCAAAAGCGGCATTTTAGGACGCAAGTCCCTGAGTAGCTGGCTTTGAGAGTCTGCATGTGGCGCCTGGGGGTGGACAGGTTTGCAATGTGGCAACTCATTGGTGATGTTTTTCAGAACCAAACATTTGCGCTCCCTCTCTCCCTGCCCTACTTGTTCCTGTTGAACATGGAACTGTACGGTATATCCCATCTCCTCCTCACTCCCGCTCCCCTCCTCTATAAGCCCGTACCTCCTCATGTACTTGCAGGTGGCGAAGGACATGTTGGGAGACAGGATACAACTCAGTCCAACAGTGATCTTCTCCGCTCCAGGCTTCTCTGAGAGCAGTGTGCAGGGGCTGAACCTAGGGAGGGCCCTGGGGGGCTGTTGCCCTCCCCCCACAGAAAGCCTAGAGAGCTGCTGGTCGCTGAGGTACCGGAGGGCGATGGCGTTGGCCTCCAGGCTGAGGTCCACGCTGCCGCTGGGGCCCCACATGCTGGTCCCCGTGGACTCCAGGAGGGTCAGTCTGCTGATGACCGCCTCTGGGTTGATGCCAGCCAGGGTACTGGGGAGAAGGAAACAGAGCTGCATTTTTTATCAAAGTTAAAAGGAACACCTTCTGCATAAGTAATGTAACCTATGTAATTACTCTTTAATATGTGCTGTAGTGCATGCCAATTGAAACATTTCTTTTTCGAGTACTTCTTGGATTTACATGAAAATGAGAGAGAGAATATAAGACAATTAGCAACAGTAATAGCATCTATGATCTACATACTGTAGGTACAAAGATGCTGAATAAACATGACAATTCGATGCTCATACCTGGAGCTTTCCATCGAGCTGCGTGTGGCCTTGCCCCCCGGGTCGGCAGAGTCCAGATCCACATTGACCCCTAGCTGCTGCAGCTGGCGCAGTGTGGCGTGGAGCACCTGGTCCTTCCCTCCTGGCGGCTGCTCTCTGGGCTCCGGCCTACGGGAGCGGAGGGGGACAGGGCTAGGGGACGACTGCTGGGACTGAGAGTGGGACACTCGTCTGGGGGACAAGCAGTGTTTCTGCTGCTGTGGGTACGAGATCCGTCTGTCCTGTTCCTCCTCGGTCACTGATCCTTGGAGACGGCTGTTCACTTGGCCCTGTGGAGGAAAGAAGAACTTATTCATTGATAAGTGCTTTTCATACATTTAGTGGAAAGTGACAAATAGTCAGGGATCAGGAGGGAGGCTGGCCACATAACATGTGGATTAACCATTTCACTGCAATACTATATTCTGTTGAAGCCTACCCATAAATAAGTAAACTAGGATAAAAGATGGGGCAAATGCATCATCACTTGGGCCGTGCTCATAACTATTTTTTGTTTCCTTTCGTAGTTTTTCTCCATACATGGAGCAAATGAAGTCCCTATAAAAGATGAATGAGTCTTACCAATAGGTCTTGATAAAACCTCTGATCGTCCTTCACTGCTCTGGTCTCCTGACTCTTGGTGTTGTCCCTCTGTGGAGACTGGGACTGGTAGTACATGCTGGCACTCTCCCCCAACACAGGGCTCTGGAAGGAACCGTCTCCAAACGCTGACTGAATCCTGCAACAACGCACAAAAACACATGCTGTTCATAATACAGTAAGAGTTTACTGAAATGGCCACATGGTGGGGTGGGATCTCCCTTCTGAAAACAATTGTGAGGGCTCACCCTGACTTCCACATTTTGGCTGGATTTTAGATTGAAAACTTGGTCTATTTCTTTCAACCATTGACAACTCACCATTGTGTTATAGAGGGAGAAAAATGATGTAAACTCCGCTTAAAGGGGAAATCTGTGATTGCTACATTCATTTTTTTTACTTTTAAATTAATTATATAGCCATTAATTATTGCACAATATAACTTTAAAATGCTTAGTTCAACTGTCGTACCCCATCAAAATATAAGCTTGTTTTACTCCAATGTTTGTGAACAATGCAATTGTAAAAAAACACTGTATAGCCTCATAACATGGTTAAAACGATCATTTTGATATCATGGATGGTCAGTCTTTGCATACAAAGCTCCGTCTATGAATTTGAGCGTGGTTACATTTCTCCAGCTCCATCCCTCAACTTTTTACCAAAACAGTGGCGGGATAATACTTTGTTATTGTTTTAACAGCAGATTGCCCCTTAAACCTTTCCAAGTTCCAGGTGGCCAACTACGACATTACTTTCTTGCACCCTTCCAGTCAATTTAAAATGAAGGTGGATCAGCCAGGGCCGATGGCAGGAAACAAGCATTCCGTTTGGAATGCAGCCAACCAGTCTATCTTACCTCTGGTGCATTGATTGGTTGGAGGGTGTGCCTGGAACGTGTCCCTCACTGCCCCCACTCTCTTCTTCTGTGCCATCCACGTGCCTGCTGTGGGTGAGGCTGGCACTGCCAGAATTCCGACCAGAGGAGGACCTGCTGCCATCGGGAGCACCAGGCCCCCTGTTCGTGTGCCACTCTGGCTGTTGGCGCTCGTCCTCATCACAAGCGGGGGCATCGATGGGGTTTCCCCAGAACAGACTGGCACCTACACAGAAAGGAAAGATGCATTAAGAGTCAAGAGTGACTTGCAGTGAGTAGTTCTATGCAGCAAGCCTTTCCCCATGTTGTCAGGGAAATGCTCTCAAATGAACCAAGAGTGAGATAGCTGAAACCAGTGATGAGTCCAGTACCTGTTCCTACAGCGATGCTGACATTCCTCTTGGTGGGTTGTCCTGGGGAGGTGTGTGTCTGCATGGCTGCCTGCTCAGTGGAGATGCTCCCCCCTTTCCCCTGGGCCGCCAGTAGCTTCTGGATCTGAAATAATTGGGACATCAGGATTGGAAAATGGTTCAAGTGCAAGGGTAAGAACTAGGGATGCACGATATTACATTTTTTGGCCGATACCGATATCCGATATTTTCTTTACCAAAGAAAAACCTATACCGATATTTATCTTCCTACCTATTGCCACTGGCATGTGTGCCATGCATGGCAAACTGGCAATTCCGCATTCTTCCAAAGCATTATCACATAGTACAGCGTGTACTTTGTTCTTGGGGATTTTCCAAGTTTCAAACATGTTTTCAAATGCCATTGAAATGGCAGCAGCGGTATGAGAACCAGCACATTCTTGAGCATACAATACGGCTTTCCTCAGTACGAAATCCTTGTTGACCCACTGTGCCATCACACTCAGCATGCTCATGGGGCTGACGTCGCTGGTCCAAATGTCAGTCGTGAAGCTAATAGCAATGACACCCATAGCAAGTAGTTCATGGATGTAGTTTCAACAATACTGTGTAACTCCGGTAGGGCAACATCTGAAAAATAGCGCCTACTTGGTAGTGTGTACCGGTGCTCGACCAGTCGGCGAAAGCCAACATCATCCACGACAGAGAACGGTAGAATGTCAAGGGCAATGAATTCCATTATCTTGGCATTAATGGATTTCGCCTTTGAGTTGTCTCGCTGAAATGTTCTTACTCTTCCAAAGGACTGCTCGACTTGAACTTGTTTAGTTGTTGGAAGTGTGAGCTTAGTTTTTTTCTGCTTTTGTTGTAAGTAGTCGCTGAACGTCTGGGGGTGATGCACTTTCAAATGAGTAATTAGGTTTGTGGTATTGAAAGATTTCACTTTCTCCCCTCCTCAGGGAACAATAGCAGCACAAACGTTGCATATGGCCTTTCTGTTATCTTCCTTTGAAACTTCAGAATAGATCCACACAGCAGACATTGTGGGCTAGGTTAGGAATGTTGTGTAGCGCTGTATTTTTCCTGCCGTCATTACGTCATCTACCTACGTTATACAGGTATGCACGTAAGCTTTGACATCGGTTTTGCACATCGGCGTTAAACTATACATAGAGCCGATGCTGGCATTTTTAGCTAATATCGGCCGATTCCGATATGCTTACCGATATATTGTGCATCCCTAGTAAGAACTGTTGAAAAGCCCTTCTCTAAAGCTGCAAGATTGTGGTTATCTGACACTGTACCAAACGACACCGTACAGAGCCTGACCTGTGCCTGCAGTAACTTGAGCTGCCGGTCTTGGTCCACCAGGATTCTGTAGGCATCAGAGGGCAGGAGGCCCATGGGCCCGTCCAGGGGGGAGAGAGACTTCGCCGACTGGGCCTGGCAACACTGGTTCTGACAGACGGGGGCCGGCAGCTCCAAGCAGGGCCCCTGGGCGGTGAAATGGTGTAAGTGTGGGCCCCCAGGGTGGCACACTGGGTTATGGTGAGGGTGTGTTTGGTGGGAAGGGGAAAGTTGAGAGGTGGGGCGATTACTATCAGAGATGGAGCAGAAGTGCCTATCTGGGCTGTTGTGGGTGCCTGAAGCTCCCTGCCAGTAGTTGGGGTGGTACAGGGGGGTTACATGGTCATGTGGTTGGAAGGAGCAGCACCCACAAGGCTGGTTCATGTTGGGGTTGGGGGTGCTGTGGAAGTGTTTGAGATGGACAGGGGGCTGTTGGTGAGTGGGCATGGGGGCCGGGGTTGGGGGGTGACCGGGGCTATGCCTGGGGCGTGGAGGGGGTCCGACAGAGGAGGCCCCCCTGTGAGAGAGGGGACCTAGCACTTGGTGGAACTGCCTGGCCTGGTGGACTGATCCATTAGGAGAGGAGCAAGTCTTTGGAGAAGAAGAGGAAGATGAGGAGGAGGAAGAGGTGGACGTCTTCCCGAACTGCAGAGGAGCCGATTTCCTGCCGGAGGAAGGGGGCCGGAGCGGTGGTGGCTGCTGCCCAGGGGTGAAGGGGGATCCTCTGCTGCCCTTACCCTGAGGGTCCATGGCAGGGGTGAGGGGCTTTCTGATGGGTGGGGGGCCACTGAGTGTGGTGGGCCCCTGGCCTGGGGGTCTGGTTGCCCCAGGGTGGAACTGGTGGGAGGGGGGGCTGCTGCCTCTGGGCTGCAGAGCTGAGAGGGGAGGATGAGGGGTGCCCATGGTCTGTCCATCCAGGATGCTGCAGTCCATCACCAGGGAGAGCTCTGGCACAGAAGGGTGGACCCGCTTGGTCTGAAACAACATGGAGCATGTCTTTTAGAACAGAGTTCATAACAACAAATAGGCTATATGCGTCAAACGAGAGGGAGAGAGAGACACACAACTGACCTGCTGGGTGAGAGGGTGGGGGTTTGGGGAGGGCCTGGGGGAGAGGTCCTCGTCCTCTACTCCAGAGTCATGGTCACTGATAGACAGTCTGTTCTGAGGAGACACTGCCACTACTGCAGGGCTTACGGAGAAAAGACAGACAGGCACTGTCAAACACCGTAGAGCCCACTGTCTTGATAAAGCCTTTTGTCTACCACACTGCAACTCCTCTGAAGTCATAGATACTCTTACAGGATTTTTTCCTCATGAGTTCAGTTAGTATTTAATAACATATGACTAATGATTTTCTTGTGACCCAACACACAGACAAAAAGCCAACACTCAGAGTGAGACGGCCCTATTCACCTTGACCACCTATCCACTGCACTAGACTAAGTAAAACCATGTTAATACAGAAGTTTGAGAGAAGAGCCTGTGTATATATACCTTATGAAGGAGGCACGGGACACCAGTTCCCTGAAGAACTCTGCCTCGTGGTTCTGGCTCTCAGCACTGAGCTCAAACTGCAGAGTACGGCCCTCGGACTCCTCCACATTCTGCACAGACAAGGAACAAAAGATAAGTGTCATATATTCACATGGATTTACCACCATATAAATTCATATCTGTTGTAATAGTTGGTAAAGGTCACTAGAGGGCTTTTCATACTACTGAGCCGAGCCAAACTGTACTGAGATGGTTAACACATCCACCATAGCTGCTGGAGGGGACAATCTGAAAGGGAAATGTCCAAGCCAGCACGGTTCTGGTCAGCCCTATAGTTTGAATCAGGCATACGTGTGCCTACCTTGTAGAGGGTGAGTGACTCAGTGCTTGTGAGCAGTTGGAAGGTCATGTCCTGCTGCTGACCGCTGCAGGGCTGGACCTGGTAGAACTCTGGCTCCCTGTGGGTCAGCGAGTACAGCACCACCAGGAACGCACCGCTCTCCGACGTCACCCTGCAACACAACAATGACAAACCAGGGGTATGTTCAGTATCAGGCAAATGTTGTGGAACACTGAACCAAACACAAATCCAGACTACCTGAACAGTGAACACACCCTCCCATTACAATTGTTTTGGTGCTTTTCCCAAACGTCAACCCATCACCTTTATAAGATGTCTAGAACATGTAGTTTCTATACTAACGCATGTTATTTCCTTACTGATGTGTCCTTTTCTCATGTTTATAAAAAGTGTTTATGAACATGTGTCAATATCAACAACACATACAGTACTGGAGCAAGGCCAACTAGGACATGACAGTCAGTGTGCTATTTTCTAATGTGTGAACAGATGGGCATCCCCACTCACTTGTCCTGGAGGGAGGAGCTGAACAGGTACCTCAGACACCACGCCCACACCTGGGGGTTGGATATGTGGTTGACCCCACTCAGCCATCTGCCACAGATAAACGTAACCACGTCAACCAAACTGTACACTCCTGCGTTGGCTCACACGCACGCACACAAACAGCTTGACTAAATGAATACAATAAGGAAGGACAAATCCTTTTGTGGTTCAGATTATCTCTAATGAATGGAGGGGGATTTACGCACATCCAAAATAATAACACAAGCTGGACAAAGAAAATGATGTAAATAAAGTACATGGTGGGTATACTCACAGTCCCACCAGTGGTAGAGTGTAGGCCTTCGGGTCAGATTCCAGTACTAGGAGCAGTTTCCTGCTTTGATCCATGGTCAGAAAGCTGAACAGAATAGAGAAAAAGTGAAGGGGGCATCCATTTTCTGATAACACTGAGATAAGCTCTTAACGTCTGCTCAAAGTCAAGTATCCTAACCTTACCGCACCCCGTTATTGGCCTATGTCCTTACCCTCGTTTGTGGTTAGCGCTGCTGTGTAGCGGCTGGGTGAGGCTGGTCGGTCCGCTCAGGTTTCTGGCCAGGGCCGTGGGGATGATGAGCACGGGCCGAATGGGCACAGCGTCCAGTGTGTTGCCGGGGGTGACGGCGGCCCAGCGCAGGCAGAAGCCCAGGCTGTCTGCTTGCTGGGAGCAGCCGAGGTGTGCTCGCAGGGCAAGCAGCTTGGACAGGTCCAGGGACTCCCGGGTGCTGCAGCAGTGCTGGAGCATCTGAACAGGCAGGGAGGAGGGGAGAGAAGTTGTACAAACATGACATTTGTGGTGAAAATGTAAAGATCGGCTTTACTTCAATAACTGAAACACAAAGTGGCTTGAGAATCTGAGGGAAGGACGAGGGGATGGGGGCTGCTTATTTTCTCCACAAGAAAAATCTGGAAATTAGACAGGGTAAAAAGCACCGTTTAGTATTAGCAAGCAGAAAAAAATGCTTTGACAATTGGCAGTTCAGTGATTAGCAACACCTGTTGCCGACAGGTTGCAGTAACTGCCAAGCCCGGGGTGGAGGGAGTATGCTCCTTCTGTCACCTGGACAAAAGTAAAGGTGGGTTACTTCGTTAGGCAGTTACTTGACAAGGTGCAGTTCGGATTAATGTAAATTCCAGTAGGAAAAACAGTACTGTGTAAGAATATGTTGTATAGTTATTGCTGGTAAGCATAAAGCCTACAGATCTTAACAAGCATTCATTTTATTCAAACATAACAAAGGACATTTACTTTCAGTGTAGACATTTACACATTAATGTTACCTTGAAAGAGATGTGGAAATCTTCTGCAGAGTGAACCATGGTGTCTGTGGCAGCGACCCCCTGGGTTCCAAAAACACAGAGCACCAGGACGTCCCCGGGCATCAGGGCAGTGGGGACCTTTCCAGAGGAGCCAGGTTGCTCCCGGCCCGGGTCGAACCGGTCCAGAGTCAAAGTCACACCCTCTTCATCTTGAAAGAAGTGGAGAGAGAGAAGGGAGTTCACATCAAGCAAGGGAAGGGACAGGGGGCATTTTCAAAATAAAGCGCTTAAGCTAAGAGTTGTACTTAGAAAGCAAGCAGTAACATATGTACTCAATCCATCATTATCATCATTATTTTCCATCTAAAAATAGTGTGACAAGTTCTCTTGAACTATTAATATTTTCAATTTTATGTAATAATGCCTATGGTAATCTCACCAGAATCCACAGCAATAGTCCCCAGCAAGTAACAGCAGAACTGGGGCTTGTTACTCTGTCGGGCATGCCGGTGGGCCAAGCGAAGAACGTTCTCCACCAGAAGTAGTCTGGGATTTCTGTTCAATAGAAAACAGGTTTTTAAGTACAAGAGAAGGAAGCACATTATCTAATTACAGTCACAGTGTGCATTTCAATAGAATGTGGCTTCCTTGTCTCCTTTGATTCAACTGAACTGATTTGAGAGAATTAAGCAGATCAAAGTAAGCCAAGTATTTCAAATCAGTACAGACAAAGGGAAGGAGATAAGAAAGCCACTGGACTACTGAGATGCATCCTAAGTAGTCACTGTCGAAAAGAAAACAGTAGAGTACCTGTAATAGGATAGGTGGAGGCTAACCACATCCCCATTAGGTGTGGGGTCCCATACGGCCAATTTGGATTTGGTGAAGGTGAGGGCAGTAAGTGCGTTCTCTGATGACCTGTGGTATGGTTATCATCATCATCAAATACTAGTGTCAGACTGAAACCTCCCCGTGGGAACTGTTAGCTTTTGTTATTGTATTGGAATTATTAGGAAACAAATGACAATTGTACAAGGGTTGATATATGTAAAGGAAGAAAGCAAGTACATACCTTCTTGCCATTTTCAGATTCTCTGGTTTGTAAACACTGGCCAGGACGTGAGATGGCAGTCCTCTCAAATTCACTTGGACACTCATTTCTGTGGTGTGGACAGGAAAAGTGAAGTGGTTCTGTCAACAACTAACTAACCTTGACAAAATATGTGTGCATGACACACCATGCAAATATGCAAGTAATTAACTGACACCAAAAGACAAACTAGATGGCAAGGTGACGTTACCTAGCTAGATACTTAACATAAACTAGTTAAAAGACTTTGGACATCTGGAAAGCTTAGAAAATGGCATAGCTAGCTAACGTAACTACATAACGTTAACTCACACACCCATTCTTACCTATTAGTTAGCCCTAGTTGTGACCACATACCACAGCCAGTAATCTTCTTCACCAAACGTAGCTAGCTAACGTTAGCTTATCAGATAGTTAGCTAGCTAGTTAAATAGCAAGCCAGGCAGCTAACGCGTTAGCTATCATTTCGGTTCGCGTGCCACTGAGTCGTGTTGGCTGGCTCAAATGTTGTGAGAAATGTCCTCGAGCAGCGGTTTCAAGACTTCCTCCGCAACATCAGAGCGGCCATATCCGCGGTAAATCCACAATGTATCAAGCTATAATATTTTCGTTATTATTTTACTTCACTTGGTAGCAACCTAGCTAGCGTAGTATTTAATTAATCACTTTACACGTTGCTAAACACAAACAGTCCTTGTGATAAATCAAATGTAATTTGATTGTGGCGCTGTTTCCATGTTCCAATGGCGGGCCAAAAAATCCAGCCAATAGAAGGCTCCGTTCCATGGCTGCTGACCTATCAGAGGAGCTGAAAATATTACGCGTTCAACCCCATATGCTCAATCAAAGATTTTCTCAGCCCATCCAATTCTTTCAATGGTGGTGGTGCTGTGCTGGTTCTGACAGGCGTCGCCAACTATTCTTGCAAATTGCAAGTGCAATTTATAACATTGTAGATATGAATCTGGTTGTGGTTGCAAAGAATATGAAATACCGATGACGCTACTTTACGTATGTCACGTTTTGCAAAGGGAAACTGCGTTTTGATACTGATAGACATTTGAATTAAATCACAAGTACCACAAGGGGGCACAATTTTACCAGATATACAGTAATAAATATAAGCATTTTCCATAGCTACATAGTTCATCATCTTTATTGACAGAAGCAAGCACATCAAGCAAACAGAAAGTATGCCACATCAGTATACCACAAGTCTACATCAGTATAATTTTCAAACCTAATCTTTCACAGGTTACTTTTAATTTGTAGATATTACAAGTCATAGAAGGGCTTTTCCAACATGATGATATTACATTTCAGAAAAGAGCAACATAATATTGACTTTGCACTAGAGTTTGGTGTGACCGAGTGTAGGCTACTACAGTACTGGTAGTAAGTAATCCTGCTCCCCTGTGCACCCAAACATCAGCTGGGATCAGCAAGGGGCTGTGATGTGACATCACCACACATTTGACTGAGTAAAGCTCATTTCACCCCTGATCGAGATAATCTCCTGTATACCCAGGTTTTATTCACTCATGCTGGCTGAGGCCAATGGGATTGCAGTGATTGCAACAGCGTCTAGCCTATGGCTGGCCGTCATGGATTCATTTTGCCCTCATCCATTTCATTTCAGAGGACATTACCAAACCAATTGTTCATATGCAGCAAGAGACTGTGTGACAGAGAGAGGGGGACAGGAAGGAGTTTGTGAGAAATGCTACATATGAAGATGATTGAGGTACCCTATTCTGTTTGGTGAGACCAGATTCATTTAGACAGTTATGGAGCCTGAGGAGTTGAACCTGGATCTTATCTGGGAAATCAGTGCACTGAAGAAATGCATAAAGAGGTAACTGTTTTCACTTTTTCACACAATTAACTAGTTTACTGTACATTACCACATCATCTTTTATAACATTCATTTGATGTTGCACTTCAATATACATTTGATAACTACACTACATGACCAAAAGTATGTAGACACCTGCTCGTCGTACATCTCATTCAAAAATCATGGGCATTAATATGAAGTTGGTCCCCCCTTTGCTGCTATAACAGCCTCCAATCTTCTGGGAAGGCTTTCCACTAGATGTTGGAACATTGCTGCGGGGACTTGCTTCCATTCATCCACAAGCATTAATGAGGTCGGGCACTGATGTTGGGCGATTAGGCCTGGCTCACAGTCCGTGTTCGAATTCATCCCAACGGTGTTCAATGGGGTTGAGGTCAAAGCTCTGTGCAGGCCAGTCAAGTTCTGCACCGATCTCGACAAACCATTTCAGTATGGACCTCGCTTTGTGCACAGGGACATTGTCATGCTGAAACAGGAATTCCCCAAACTGTTGCCACAAAGTTGGAAGCACAGAATCGTCTAGAATGCCATTGTATGCTGTAGCGTTAAGATTTCCCTTCACTGGAACTAAGGAGCCTAGTCCGAACCATGAAAAACAGCCCCAGACCATTATTCCTCCTCCACCAAACTTTACAGTTGGCACTATGCATTTGGGCAGGCACTGTTCTCCTGGCATCTGCCAAACCCAGATTTGTCCAGAGAACGCGTTTCCACTGCTCCAGAGTCCAATGGCGGCAAGCTTTACACCACTCCACACTCTAAAAAGAAAAGGTTCCTGGAGTATCCTTTAGGGGTTCTTCAAATTGAAACTGTGTGGGAACCCCTATAAATTCTTTGAAGAAGCCCTTTTAATGGATCCTCAAAGAACCATTTAAATAAACTTCTGGGGTTAATTGTTTGAACTACACCCTTCACCTGTTATTATTATTATTATTATTAATAATACTTATAACAATAACAACGATAACAGAATATTAGGATTTTAGTGGCAAAGCAGATAAAAAAATTAAAATATGAGGTAAACTCCCAGCAGATCCCCAAGTCCAATGGGTATATCCTCTGGCGTGTTGATGTTAATGTGTTGATGTTCTCCGTATCCATAGCCAGAATGATTTTGCAGTGCATGGTAATCGAACAGGTTTCTTGTTATATTCATCAGAGGTGTAGGGAGGGTGAAGTCTGTCAATACCAATTTTTTAAATTATTTACATTTACATTTAAGTCATTTAGCATACGCTCTTATCCAGAGCGACTTACAAATTGGTGCATTCAACTTAGGATAGCCAGTGGGACAACCACCCCCTTTTTCCCCTCTTTTTTTTATGGGGGGGTGGGGGAGGGGGGGTAGAAGGATTACTGTTATACTATTCCAGGTATGCTTAAATTATCCAGATGATTAACAAAACATTATTACAACACAGTATTCATACCTTGGTTTTTGTGGTGAATGTGAATGAAAAAAACTGTTTTGATAATGGTTTTTGTACACATACCTTGTCCATAATGTAGAGGCCTAGGGGATATTCATTGAAGAGGTAAGGGAGGAGGATGGTAAATGTGATCTGCATAACATGCCAATACCAATTGACATACCTTTGTATGCCTCCTTGTCTGTATACCTGCAGACACAGACACAAAAGTGAGCAGTTTAGTCATCTGCACTCAATACAGCTAACCTTCAACATATTCTTATAGCCTACATATTCTTACCTCATTGTTGATTGATATCCATTGAATTGTGTCCATTTTCTGTTTTAGAAAGATTTGCACAAATATGAAAAGATAGATGGTATCATCATAAAACAATATCAATTTAGATTATACAAGGGACAAACCTTACCTTAAATTGAGGATATCTTTACATTTGTCAGTTAAGCGCATGCACCTGCTGTCCTTTCAAATTCAAATGCAAATGATTCATTTGGGCAGATAGGTTCCTGGAAGAACCCCCACCAACTAAGAAGGTTCCTCGATGAACCCCACCTCCTATGGGGTTCTTGGAAGAACCTTTTGGGGGCCATTTTCAGTGCCATGAACCCTAAGGTTCTTCAAAGAACTTTGAGGATCTTAGAAGAACCCTTGTTGAACCCCTCATTTTTAGAGTGCAGCCAACGCTTGGCATTGCGCTAGGTGATCTTAGGCTTGTGTGTGGCTGCTCGGCCATGGAAACCCATTTCATGAAGCTCCCAACGAACAGCTGACGTTGCTATGGGAACAGCTAGCATGTCATTGCACTAACGCTAGCAGCAATGCACCTCACCCCGCTACCTTTACCACCACTACTGCAAAACATCCCAGGGGAAACACTGTATGTATATGCCCAGCATTTGGTCTAGGTTGGTAAATGAGTCTTGTATATGATGATTGGGATCCAGAACATCAGACTGTATGATGGAAGAGTCACTGACTTGAGGTCAGGTTTGCATTTATCCCTCAATAGCGGTGGTTATGATTGTGACAATGTAAACTGTTCCTAAATCTGTGTTCAGGGTAAAGCACTACTTCAAGCTTGGTGAAAAGTGCAGATGTCACAGTATCCTCAACCGTCTTCTCCCATAGTCCTTCTAAGGCTGTCAGATACATACAGCAAGGCTTTTTAATCCTCTCGTCAAGGCACTGCAATTCTGCCTTCTTTGAAAACCCCACAATCTGAAAAGTACTGTTTTCAACGTTAAAGCTTCACATGCTGTCGACTACTTTCTCTCCAGCTACACATACTATTGGACTATTGCTTCAGCAGCCCACTGGCAGAAATGAGGTCATAGTCCTGCGTTACTCAGAGAACCCTGTCTACTGAGGAAACACTGGCATAAACTGTTGCTTTTCAAAAGAATGACAGAGTCGCCATTACACTACCAGTCTGGTACTCAGACTGACAGAATGGGAACAAACACCAGACACAGATTGGGCATTGGTCTTTGGGTCATACATGCTAATGTGGCATAGTCCTGGTCTAGAACCCTGGTGGTCGTAGATGTGTATGTTACAAATAGGAGTTAGAGTACAATAGAGGTCTTGTTCGAAGGAGGAAAGGATGGATTGAGCAACTCACATTTCAGTTCTGAAAATAGGGGGAGAATTTATTTGGGGTAAGGAGAGACATTTTTTTATAAGGCTGTGATATTGTGACTTTTAACTCAGGTCTGTGTACTTGGATCTGGCAGTGCATAAAGTTCAATTTCTTACCCAATTTTCCCTATTACTTTGGCC